GGGAGGTGCTTCCATGTGTTTCTTCGGGGGATCATATGATCTTTATCTAGTTATATATACTCCATCTGATATATTTTGCCAAGTCTGTTAACAATAATCAAAAGGCGTGCCTTGCAACAACACATTCTTGCTTGCCACCGTTTCTTTGTGCAACCTTGCACGCCACATGCCTTCCTGCAAAGCCGTTTCCATAGGAGGCAAAAGAAAAAGGAGGTAGCATCAATTGCTCTGTGTTGTGGGGATCTCATCGTAAATGACGGCAGGGCCCTCTGCCTTTTAAAATATCCAGTGCCGAATTTGACGTGGGAGCGAAAGAACCATTCTAGAATTCCTCCACGGCGCGCGCTTTCCCAGGGCCCACGTGCTGCGGCCGGTAACGTGGCGCGCCCGCGGGCTGCGGGACGGGCGGGAGGCCGTGCCTGGCCCACGCGTACGCGGGGCGGCGAACTGCACGCAGGCCTAATCCTGACCATTTTGCGCATAGGCCCTTGGATTTACCCGTAAGTACGTAACTCTGTCATGATACTGTCTCTACCGTCCGTCCTACTGTCCCTGGAAAAGTAGGTAGGGAATACAGAATGCAGCCGTTCTGTCGACGATCACGCGCTGCGGCCGCGGCGGACCGCGGGGAAACGCGTCCGGTGTCCCTTCCATGCGGGCCCGGGGCGTCCGCTGGCCCTACGTGTCATTGTTGTACGCGGAGCTGGAGCGCGCCGACAATGTCTGGTGCTGCTTCTGCCTGGTGCGTAGCCGTTGCAGACGGTGGAGCAGCTGGGCTGCCGGCTGCCGCTGCGGCGGGAGAAGGAGAAGGTGGAGGACACAGGAGGAGCCTGCATGGGATCCTCTGCGCGCGGCTCGGCTCCCGACGGCCGACGGGCCCGAAGCGAGGCGCATGTGGGGGTGCTCTGACGGGACGGACGGAAGGGATTGAATGCAGGGAGAGGGTCAACGTGCAGATGCGCAGGCAGGTACAGGGAGTACGTGGGTGGCGGCAGAGGAGCACGGGCCTGGCCTGACGCGCGCAACGTGTGCTGCCGATGATGCCGACGATGATTATGAACCGGCGAGCGACAGCTGGCTTGGGCCCCATACTGGCCCCGCTTCCATGGCGGTCAGTCTCACCCCAACCCTGCCTGACATTTTTTATGAGAAAAATAGTGTGCAGGTTCTGCGTTAGTTGACCAGGTCAAATTTCGCCTGCCGTGAAGCTTGACGCGCCACCTATTTCCAAACTAAACTGCTTTTGAAAATATTTCACATCGTTAACCTTTTTGTGCAGAGCCTGACGGCTAGGCGCTGCACAGTGCATCGCTTTGCTGTCAGGCGCTGTACAGTAGGGATCAGCTGGATGAAATACTTTCAAATACAGTTTAGTTTGTGAAATAGTTTTGCTTGAAGTCAAATTTGTGTCTTTTTGCAACGTAAAAGAATTCTGCGCGGCATCATCTGCTGACCAAACTGATGGGCGCTGGTCGCTGCTCACTGGAGCCACGTTATTGATTGACCACAGGACAGGGGGCTGTTGACCGACGGCCGGGCCCCATCTCCTTATCTTCAAATTTCGCCCGCCATGAAGCTTAGCGCAGGAGGGGCTCAGGCTTTCGGCCCTAAAGAATTCCATTTTCCTGAGTAAGCTGATGGACGCTGCTCACTGCTCACGGGAGCCACAGTATTGTCAATCAAAGGGGCTGTCAGCCACCGGAGGCGACCAGGAGGGTGAAAATGTACAAAAATGGCCCTTATCTGAAACTTCAACACAAAATGGCCCCAATCTGAAAATATTTCACGAAATGGCCCCTTTTGCATGACGCCCGGGGCTAGGGCGCCGTGCTAGATAGCATGACGCCCCGGGCTAGGGCGTCATGCTATTTGGCATGGCGCCCTAGGCCAGGGCATCATGCTACATGTCGTTACCATGGCGCCCTAGCCGCGGGCGTCATGCAAAAGAGGGCCATTTCGTGAAATATTTTTTCAGATTAGGATCATTTTGTGTTGAAGTTTCAGATAAGGATCACTTTTGTTCATTTTCACGGAGACCCGTCTACTTATCTTCGAATTTAAACAGCACGCCAGGTCGCCAGCGTCCGTAGCAAATGCACTGGTGAGGTGCGACCCTGCCGCTCGTCCCGTCAGGACCTGCAAAATTGATTGATTAAAGTCCGGATGAGCCTAGCTGGGCTCATCATATGGCGCGCAGTACAGCTGCAGGCAGTTCCATTTTTCTTCTTCTTTTGAGGCAGGTCTGCTGCTGGCTCGTTCGGGTCGGCCTCGCTCCGACCGCCCGCGTCGAGTCTCCATTTGGCGGCCCCTGGGCGCTAGTAGTACGTAGAGACCGCGGCTAACCGTACCCAGCGCGGCAATCATGCTTGATTTGGTCGTTAGGACAGCTCTGCCTAGCCTAGGGCGATCGAGCTAGCCATAGCCATAGCTGTTGTTAGATCGATCCAACTACGTAAGTACAATCACTATTTTTTTAGGGTATGGGAGTAGTAGAATATTGTGCTGGCAGTTGCCGCGTTAAGTCGCTCGCTCCTCGCCGTACACACCGTCCGGATCGACTAAACAAACCACCAGCTGATGATGATTAGCGCATGTAACCTAACGTTCGGCGCGTCTCGACCCGGGCGCATTGTTATTGTTTTTTTCTTTCTCGGATTGGTAGAGGGTTTAGGTAAGGGATTGATGCATGATGGGGTGGTGCTGGTATGCGGTTGTAGTATCACAAAACTTAAAACTTTGCTTTTCGTTGGTAACGACTATTTCTGACTTTCTCGGGTGGTTAACAGGCTGGGGGGAATGATGGGGTAGTGGCAAGCATACCGTTGCGTCGTAGAGCGTGTGTTTTGAGCCCCGACTTGCCTGATTAATTTTTTTGGCATGGCCAAAGCAAGGTCATTATTGTTTGGGTTATAGCCATTGTGGGTGGCTGCCAAAAATTCGGCAGAAATGCTAGAGCTTCATTTGGTTTGGAGCCAACTGAGTTGGTAAAATGTTTGGCAACTTTGATATATTTTCCCGTGTTTGATTATACTTTTCTTAAATATATTTAGCCAATGGAAGGAAGAGAACGGGTGAAACTTCTTTTTTGAGGACAAGAGACAACAACAACAAAAATCCTCCGATTCGTATTATTTGTCATAGATCTAATATGAAGTTTATGCTAAATCCTCGACAATTAATATTGATAGGAGAGAGTAGCTACAATATGTCCAACGAAATAATGTGTACCCACATATGTCACCATGCAAAATTGATCTAAGCAGTACGAGGTATGTTGGGTTGTAGCACTAATCATGATTTGCGCTGTCACTTCGGCCCCTCCCAATGCTCCACCTTGTACCAGTGCTAAGCCTGTCATGTAAATGAAGAATCTGATGTGGCCGAGGTGAGTGTGGTGATTGTGACCCCAGGAAGAAAATGCCAAGTGCGTGAACTAGGCAAAACATTGAAATGAAAGAAACCCACCAATGTATGAAAAACTTTAGTTGCTAAATCATTAAAGGAAGGACCCCATCTAAGCACCTATGCATTGGGGAGTACAGTTCCTAAGCTATCTAATATGCTCAGGACCTCATCTAAGCACCTATGCGTTGGGGAGTATAGTTGCTAAGCTATTTAGTGTGCTTAGCACCTCATCTAAGCACCAATGCATTGGCAGCAGCCTTACACTAATCAAAAGGGAGGAGCTAGCATCTTCTTTACTTCTTATTTGCATTGACATGGGCTCATGCAAGCTTTTTTCCTAGTCTGCACCTCTGCGGTGTTGTAGCCGAGCGATAGATGTAGCGCCATCTTCGCGCTCTCTCTCTTCCTTTCTCTATCTTTCACACATGATCTTAATAAGGTTCTAGCCGGTTTTATTTTCTTCTCTTTCATCCTTTTTCTCTATTGATTTTCCGGTTTTCCTTCTATTTTTTCCCTTGTTTGTTTTTTATTTACTTTACCTTTTTAGAAATTCCTGATTTTTTTTTAATTTTACAAACAATTTTCAATTTTTTGAACAGATTTATTTCATGAACATTTCTCAATTTTAAGAACATTTTTTGTATCCACATACATATTTCAAATTCATGATCAATTTTTGAATTCATGAATAAAATTTTAAATTCTTGAACATCTTTTAATTCATGAAACGTTTTTCAAGTTTGCAAATGTTTTTTGAACATGTGAACACTTTTTGAATTCATATTTTTTGTAAAAAGTCAGGAAGTTTTTCTGACTTCACAGATTTTTTTAATACACAAATATTTTTGAATTAAAATTTTAAAATTACAATAAAATGTCAAACACCAAAATGTGAAGCAAAAACAAACATGGATGCATGCGCTTTTAGCCGAGGCTTCGCACCTAACGTAGACTAAGCCTACGCTACCAGGCCGGCCCATGTGGCATCGCTCGTGCACAAATTCCAAAAGCGGTTTACTTTTTCCTGCCCCTGAGATTTTTTGGGTGCAGACTTGGGATCAAAGCCTTCACAAATCTGGAGATCAGTTTTGGAAGGAAGGGTTGTGTTGAAACAAGGGCTGATAAGTAGAATTGGAGACGGCCAATCCACGCACATATCTAGAATGACAACTGGGTTCCACGTGAGGTTATGATGAAGCCTGTTCTCATGCGGCACCGGAGCTTTACTCACCGTATCACATGCTGATTCAAACAAGGAATCACAGGGAGGCATGATTGGATGGAAATGCTGGAAATTTAGACCCAGGCAGAGAAGAGAAGTTGTGGAAGCATGAAATACATGTTGCTTCTAGATGGCCCTGTATCAAGGTACTCTGAAACATCGATTTTATACTCACGTGAGCCCAACAACTGAATTTATGTTTTTTTACAAATAAACATTGCGCTCATTATTCTCATATTTTAATTCAACAATACAAATAGGAATTCCCCTGAGCGGTAAAATTTCCTGTCAAGAGCGGAAAAGAATTTTCTGACAACAGACAAAAAGGAAGGAAGATGAAACCATTGCAGCCCTGGCTGCTGGGACAAGGTTTTCAAAACTCATGAGCTTCTGGAGAGACGTACACAGGCACAGGCAAGAAGGGGAATGGGGCTACAGAAGCATAGGCAACTGGAGGGCGTGATTGAGCACGACGAGAATGTTTCAGGTCTTCCTGTTTCTGTCTAGCTCTTTCTTCTTCGTCCCACAGCTCGGCGCCGCGGAGAACCCCAGCGATCTCACTAGTCTGATGAATGTTGTTATGCTCCTTCTGTTCGTTGGGCAGCCGATGCAATATAAGTCCAGCCATCAAAGCAGGAAGATACAAGAGGCTAGCATGGAACATTCTTCTTGCACTCTTCTGACTAGGAGCCAGTACAAATGATAAGGCTCCAATGGCGAGGCCCGTCGTTAGAAGCGATGCTTCAAAACTGAACCATTCGGATGTTAGCCCCCCTACAAAGCATTAGAAAGATCCCAAGTTTGACCAAGTACTTTATTATAAGTAGTAGTAGAAGCAAATGGAAACTAGAGAACCTATATGATTTTTTAGTACGTACAGTTATATGCAAATAACCCCAACGGCAGCATGTAGAGACAATTTCTGAGTGAAACCCATGCAGTTCTCTTGCCAGTAGGATCAGCAAAAGAGAGCATACGATACCTGAATCAACAAGCCAATCACATGTCAAGGATACAAATTAGGACCAGTTAACATTTTGATGTAACTACTACAGTTGGAATAATTGAGTTACCCTCCAGCAAGGTAGTCAGCGCGGCATAAGTACGCAAGGGCCATGAAATGTGGTAACTGCCAAAAGTACAAAGCAGCCGGCAGAATCATAGAGTTGAGTGACAGTTCAGATGCTGCTGCCGCCCACCTGTGTCAAGATAAATAAGGGCCACATGCCGTGTAAACATATTGCACAGCTCCATTAATAATCATTCAACAAATAAACAAGAGTGCAATAATACACAGAATATATATATATATGCCCATGATGCACTAAAGCATGATATTCTACACCTGTGCAGGCAGTCTATTAGAGCAATGCTACAAATACTGAAGAATTTCTGAAATACTCCCTCCGTAACAAAATGTAAGATGTTTTTTATGCCCTATGCAAAACCAAAAAACGTCTTACATTTTGGTACAGAGGAAGTAGAAATGTAGGCGGGTGATTATGAATAGCTGGATGCTGTGGTAAAGGACAGATGTAAAGGTTTCTTCTTTATGAACTTACTAGCAAGATGCCCATGCGTTGCACGGAACATCAAGATGCATTTATATGAGTAGTTTATCTTGTGAGAGAAAAGGATAAACGAAAGAAAGCCTTATTTGCAAATGTAGAGAGGGGTGTGGGTATCTTTCTGCAAAATTGCCATAGTTTCCTTCCTATCCGTCAGATAGAAATCGGACGGCCTATATTACAGGATGGCAGGCAGACCATCATCACCAACTCTGTTTTTTATAAGAGTAGAGATTAGTCTGGACTGAGAGAAAAACCATACACCCAATACCTATTCCAGTTCTCAAATCCGAGTCATCATATATTCATCTAATGCACCTATTGCTTTAACTGCACCACTGTGTATCCCAGCCCCTAAAGACCTTCTAGTCCAATAATGCCAGCATTCCAGTACAAGAAGGGCTCAGGTAACAGAAAGAGTCGCGTCCAGTTGTAAATTTGTTTTCTCGTATCTCCTTCCTTTATAATGCCGGCAGGAGATTTAGAGCTTTCCTTCTCCTTGAAGTATTACTGGACTCTGAGCCTATAAGCGACCTTTTTTTTATTTGCTTGCTTAAGATGTGACTGTATGGCCTGAAACAGTCTCGGGGGCAGTGGTATCATCCAGTTTGATGCTTCATGTCAGCAGCTATGGTTTTGAGAGTAAGTAGTCCATAACTTCAATTTGTGTGTTTAAGCTTGTAGGTCCAGAGGGCTCTACGATGTATATGTTGCTTCATTCTGACGAATCTGTTATGGCCGTGGGTGCACAAGGCAGCAGGAAATAGGCTTATCCGTGAAGGCATTGGATAGCTTATGCTAGAGATTGGAAAGTTAAGAAAAGGAGTAACTCGATTAGTATTTATCCTTGTTGGATACAGTTGGGTCCATTACAAAGAGACTAGTTAAATTAAGAAGAGTCCAACTGAACTAGGAAGGTAGTTATGGTTTGGTCTTGAGTTTAAACCATTAAAAAAGACATGCCTAGGCTCTAGGCAATAGCAAAACGCCTAGTGGTTAATGTGAGCTTAAGCGTGCGCTTTGGTCAGAAAAGCGCAAGGCAGTGGTGAAACTCACAATTAGCACCTATCACCTTTTTTAACTTTGGTCTAAACTGAAATACGACTTGCGGATCAAGTTAGTCGTCCTGCATAAAGGACTAGCATGTATCACATTTAATCACGCAATAAGAGAATAGTTTATCAATCTGTCATCCCCCTCATTCATCCTCCCTAAGCCATGTTCTATTACCCAATCCCATACACCGAGCCATGCATGATCTTCATGGCAGTACTAAACCAGATTGTTCCAGTTGCCAGGCCATTAAATGACCAAAACCAGGGTGCACAATAAGAAATTAAAATAGGAGATGAAGAATATACACTCGCTCCATTATTTTCAACATATAAAATACCACCTTCAACCTGCACCTAGATAATCCAGAAATGTGTCTTCAGTAGTAACATACCCTAGAAGTGGCGGAATGGCGCCAACAACCGCTCCCACCCATGTATTGACAGGGTGTATTTGCTTCAGTGGAGTGTATACAAATGCATACAGAATGAGATTGGATGCTGCAAGCCCAGCAGCTAAGTCATTAGCCTGCACAGACCTTGCCAAAATTTCTTAATGTTTATTTCCAATAACAGCATCATACCATCTACAGTGGCCGCATACACTTTAAACAAAGTGTAAAGCAAGTACAAGCAAACAGCAAAGAGCCGAACCTTGCAAGCCAATAATGCTGTTCCTGCAGTTCCAACAGTTGTAGCCCACATGGCAGCATGCACAGGACTAATACGCCCTGATGGTAGGGGCCTTCGCATTGTCCTTTTCATTTTAGCATCATTCTTTATTTCAAACACCTGAAAAGGATGTCGATGCACCAAGTTCATTGTCTCTAAGCGTGATAACCAGGTGTATATGATATCTATAAATCCCGATGTAAATATGTAAGAAAATCAGAATAACTTCTCAAAAACTGATATTGAAGTGTGACAATGAACATAAAAGGATTGCAAGAATGTGAACACAATGAATATTGGTTTGGTTAACCAACATGCTAATGGAAAAGGCTGCCCCAAAAAACAAGCACATACCTGGTTGAGAGTGTTGGCAGATGCTGCAACCATCATGGTACCAGTGCATGTGTAGCAAAGTCCAGCAATGTCTACAATGCTGCCACTACCGAGCACATATCCAGCCCCCGATGTTGCCACGACAAGTGCACTAAATACCATAAAAAATAGAACGTATAATCAAATAAAAGAAATGCAACAAGAGGACAAATAATTTGTCAGCCACAAGGAGTTCCAAGATGCAAGACACAGACCATGGCAAATTCAAAATCATAAGATTGTCTGAATATATCCAAGGGACACATATTAACCCATACGTGCACTCTCCAGACATACATAAATCCCACAGAACAATTTCTCCAAAGCCAAATATACTGTGGTCTAGGCAGGGTGTGGGTCTCCCTTCTGGAAAGGTGTCACCTGGGCCTTGGAGGGGGTTAGACCCTTCTATAAATGGAAACTAGGGAATGGTAATAAAATAAGCTTTTGGGATGACGTTTGGGTGGGGGATTCTTCCCTCAAAACCCAATTCTGGGACGTGTATGAAATCTGCCAACAGCAATGCTGCGCAGTTTCTGAGGTATGGGATGGTTCTACTCTCAAACTTACCTTCAACAGATGTGTGGAGCCTAGATTTTTGGATAGATGGCATGAATTGATCCGAATCATCTCTGACATGCCAATAACTGACGAGACGGACCAACCCATTTGGAGATTGGAACCGTCGGGGATCTATTCAGTTAGGTCGTTTTATAACATGATTAATTGGGGGGGGGGGGGTGTCTACCCCCATTTGGAGAAAATTCTGGAAGATTGTTGTACCTCACAGATATCTAGTCTTTCTCTGGCTAGCTTTTCATAACAAAATTCTTACCAGGGATAACCTGAATAAGA